AGGCATTAAATACCAAAAGAGAAACATGAAACTATACAAGTGTACTTGATTAAACCAAATATTTGCACTTTGTTTCCATGGCTTCATGTAATTTATTAATTGAAAAATTATAATAAATATAAAAATAGATAATCTAAACATTATACACATTGAAATGACTTGGTTATTCGTGTCCTTTAGTTGTGGTCTATTTTCCTTTATTCTGTTAAGTTTGGGTTATGAAGTCATTTACTTAACTAAGTTCTGTTTAGATTATTATGTTTATTTATTTGAGTATTCTAAGTCTATAAGTCAAATTCAATATCTTGATGAAAAATATTCCAAAGTCCAAGAATTTCTGACTGTTTATAAAAGTTTTACAAGTCCCAAGATCAAAATATTATAAGTGAAGTAGATTCTCTAAGTCCAAGTATATCAGCTGGTTTTAGAAAAGTTTACACGTCCAAAAGTCAAAGTAATATTGATTTGAAGTGAATTCTCTAAGTCCATGAAATTTAGTTAGTTTGAGAAAAGTTTACAAGTCCTAAATTCAAGTTCGTTATCAAAAATCTACTCGACTGCTCTTTGAAGTGTTGAGAAGTGGTTCCGTTGTCGTCCTGTCCCGATCTGAGGAGCCGAACTCAACTTTGTTTTAACTAGTGTTCAATTTGCAAATGTCATCAGATCGTATCAGAAACGAACAAACGGACTTTGACCTTGGTTAAGTTAACATCACAAATGCTGATATAGACCTATTTCATGACAATAATATTTGTTTGTTTATAACATAGGGAATTTAAACTTGGACGTTGGACTTTGGTTATACAAAAATTGAGACATAATTATACAGTAATAAGTAATCATCGTTTGTATACAATCCATTCAGAATAAATAAATATATATAAGATAAAATAGATAGATAATTGGGTCATAACATGTGTCACCCACCAAACAGGATGAGTCCCCGCGTCCTTGACAATAATATACATTTGTATAATAGGCAGGTGCCGCTAAAGTATAAATTATGAGGTTAAACGGATTGTAACTCTAATTTGGTAGGCATGTAATTAGATGTTGAATACCTAAAATACCTGGAATATCTATAAAATATATATATGGAAAACATCCGAATACATAGAATACATTGAGTAAATAAAAGATATTTGGAATATACATTGAATGCCTCCAAATACCAGATTAATTGAATACATTAAAATACAATATTACCTAAAATACATTAGGATAGAAGAATACATCGAGTGCATTAAAATGCGCTTCATATGGAATGTACTTAATAAAATATATGCATTTCTTTGACAGAATAATGACATAACATGCGTCACCCTTTAAATAGTATGGAACATGAACGTTTCAATGAAGACTGAGCAACAGTAACAGAACATGAAGGCTTTAATGAAGATTGAACAACCATAAATATGTAAATATGAGTAACAATAATCATTGAGGATAAGAATAGTTCAGCCAACATTTCTTGACTTAAGTGATAGTTAGGAATAATCATAGCTCACGTCACGGCAAAAAGCGTGATCTACCATTCCGATCAATGTACATTAGGGTCACTTGTTGTAATAGTGATACACCCTGTGTCAATTGTGATGCTGCATCCGGACCAGAATGGTGTGACATGTATTGCCGGACACAACGTCACGTATGTCAGATGAGGTTGCGCAGAGATTGGAAGGCACTTGGACGTAAGTGTCAAAAGTTACGACACAGGTATGGCAGCCTAAATCAGTTGTGGCACAGGTTGTAATCCCACCAACTCAGTGTTAGTAATGTAACAAGTGTAATATGGCTCATCACAGCCTCCTATCAGCTCTTTCCTCGCCGTGCAGAGATGGCCTGAGTATATCAGAATGCGAAACGCTTGAATTCAGAATTTGACTTTCGCCTTAAGAAATAAACTTTCCTAATTTAAATCAAATATATTAAGACGATGGTCAAATTCAGAGGACGAGATCTGATGTTTATATGACCTCCCATGTAGATCGGTTATGGTTCAGTAGCAGTATTGTAACAAAAATAAGGATGACTGTTGATGATAGGCCGTGTCGTCTAGGGACAACCAACACAATATCTTATATTTGCAATTATTAGTTTATTTCTATGATTTCTAGGTACAATCTCGGTATAATTCTCAACTGCTGGATTAAAACTTGATCACTTCTAATTAAAACTTGTCAACTGCGTTAACTTCCAATCACAAAACTAATCAAAACTGAAACTCAACTCCTTACATGATGCTGTATATATATATAATCCATTTTGGCAAAGTGCCAGGTTGGCAGAAAGCCAGCTGGCACCAGGCCAACTGGGCAGAAAGCCAACTGGCACTGGGCCAAATGGATAAAAAGATAAGTATACAATAAAAACATAGGTTCAAAGCAAAGGGAGATCTCCGACCACTCCAGGAAACCCACTAGATCAAAGTATTTATCTTTATTACAGTTGGTTTCCCAGAGGTGTGTAGTGACATGGGTGGTCTCATATAAAGTAGCAATTAAATTGAATGATGAATCCCAAATAGCAAATATGCTTTTCAGTGAAAACCCCCTCCCTATTTGTCAGTCACTTTCAACCCCCTCCCATTTCTTGACCATCTATGTTACATTCTCCCCCTACTTTGTAATTATTTGTCCCAAATAACATAGGAACTCAATGTACCATTAATATTACATAATATGTATATACATGCATGAATAGGTTTCCAATTCAAATAAAGTGGCCTTACAGATAACAGGTACATTTGCATTAAGTGATAAAGGGTGTATTCAAATTGAATCAGCAGTATTAACCACAAACCATTTCCTCATACAAAACTTGACTGGGCTCTCTTTATAAATGTATCTCAATATCAGTAGAGAGTATAGCATATAACTCACTAAAAGGGCTTCTTTAATTTCTAAAAATTAAACTTAAAAGTCTCAGGCTCTTCTGGTCATTTTACATAAACTCATAGGCTCTTTTGGCCATTTTACATAAACTCATAGGCTCTTCTGGCTATTTTTCTTACTCATTCATAAGGGACTGGTTTAAGATGTTTAGCTGCATAAACAACATACCTTTTTTGGTGTCCCCCAAGTCAAAACACTTATTGAAGGCAGCCAGAGGCAGCTGTATAAATGACAAACTGCACTTAATTTCAACCCCACTGATGTTGTCTTTTAAGTATATGACCTGGGACCTATTCCTAATGACTGTCGGTGTTTTAGCACGACCATCTGTAGCCACAACGTGAACTTGATCACTATTAGTGTAGAGCCATTTTAGTAAGAAGTAGGAGTCATCCTAGAATAGTGATGAACCCTATATTTATATTAGATACACATTGATCTGATAAAACAATACTGTCAACTTCATTATTATTGTGTTATTATGTATAAAACAGAGATATAGTATTAAGCATTTTGTATACCTTTAAAATTGTGGGCTATACCAAGGTAGGTGTGGTTCTCAGGTGTAAACAACCAACTGCAAAAGTCATCGGTGCAGCTATCCCCAAAGAAGACAACCTGTCTCTCTCCACACTTTTCACAAATTTCACCATCAATCCCATTGTTGTTGTTGTGTTCAATACCGAGACAGTGTTTAATACAGCATTTTTGGGCCACAATAAGATTAGGTATGTGCCTTTGGTTGTCAGTGTCGCAACGAGTCTCAATGTCAAAGAAAATATAGCCCTCGACTGTCTTTGACTCCCTTACTGCTTTAGCTGTACGCGCCCGATTCCCTTGTACTTGATCTAAAAATAATAGCCCAGTAGTCATGATAATGAGATTATAATACATACTAAAGCATAGCAATTTTTGTTCAACTTATACATATACTGATATACTACATGACGTCATTATGAAAATTATAACTATACATACCAGCTTGCGTTTCATTGTCACCATCGTCACCATCATTGACACGTTGGGCCTGAAAATGAGCTTCACTTTTAGCCTTCAGAATAGGTAGCTGTTGTATAAAACACAGATGGTCTTCTCTGACTTTTAGTTTGCATACACTGCAAATGCGGTCGTAGCATTTGTGCTCACCCCTCTGCCTCTTTCCTGTGACAGGGTTGAAGATCATGGGGTGTCTGTCCGAGACATGTTAACATTCCGTACAGTAGAACTTCCTGTCACATTTTGATTCGTTTGACACTTCGGAGGGTAGCTTGTGATTCACCAGACACGCATCACTTTTAAAGTACAAATGACAATCGGCACATTGGAACTGCTTGGATATCTGACTACCTTGGCATGCTCTACTGACCCTTTCACAAGCTGGACAGACGTTTAAACACTCGTGATAGAGGATGTTATTGTAACCTTCTTCACACTCAAAACAATAGTGTTTACAATTCATAAACACTAGGAGGCTTTTTATTACGGCAATATGGTTGTCGTAATAATACAAATAGATATGCTTTTTAGGGTCATCAATGGTCCTTTAAACAGCTGAAAATACATATATAACACAGGCATGTTAAAAGTAATATCATCCAGATATTTTCACAATACTGACATCTTTAAATAACAATCTACAAAAACAACATCAGTACATTAATCATAGTTTTTAATCAATATATAGATGTCAGCTTAATACACAAATCTTAAATAAAACTTATTCCTTCAACACCAACTTAATCATTCATTACCCATCAATCAACATCATAATTTAAACACTTCCATTAAAGTATACCCTGTATCAAGCACTAAAAAAGTATTTGCACCCTTCACTAAAATGGCAAACCATCTATCAAACACTTGTTTCTGATAAGTATATATCAAGATTATTTTACTGTTTCAAATGCCATACATACCGGCTTTTTGGTACTGTTTGTACCCACTGACTGTCTTCGAAAAAGTCTTTAAAAGTGTCTGCTAAACTGTTATTGGTACCAGGTAGTGAGGGGCTATTCACCCAGTCCATCGTACATCCTGCTACAAGTTGCTTGCGCTCTCCAATCTGTTCAAAAACAGATCGCTCCACCTCAAATGATGTGAGCATGCCACCTGGCGGGTGCAACCCCAAAATAACGTGAGCAACTGCCACCACACAGTTCATAAGAGTAGTATTATAGCAACTACCAGCCCAAAGTCTGATTGACACATAATGTGTGAAACTAGGATCCCGGATGCAGTTTTTCTCTACGATTGCTCTGTCGGCCTTTGTCAATGGGGCTCCCTCGCAATATGTCGGAAGAGCATCTAGGTGTATTTGAAGGTATATTTCAATGTTTTGATCCTCTACTGCAAAAGCCCTTTTTAATGCTGTAAAGACATTTTCAACAAAGTGTTCACTTGTATGCTCTACATAGTTGTATGGTATAAGTGTAAACCGTAGTTCGTCATACCTGATCTCTGCACAGCGTCCATTATTATTGTAGCCATTTGTTACATCAAGGCCCGACTGGCCTCTATACATAGTGAGACCTGGATGTTCGTCGCGGCCATCTCTTACAGTGACACCCTCAACCATGTAATGAAATTGTTTGCCCCTAGGTGTTGCGTCCAAGATTTGGGTAATAATCCTCACTGTTTCACCCCATACCCTCATTTGAGGTGGCGGTCTCATAGAAAAGTCTATTTCAATGACAACTGTTTTTGAATCAGGTTTCATCAAAGTCATCAATCCATCTTTTGCTCTGTTTATAATGTGAAAATTGTGTGAGCCTGTTCCGCCGACAACATTTCGTGTTTTTTGAAGCTCTGTCAATACAGCCAATCTTAGAGGTAGAAGTGCCATCTTTGTCGTCCCCCCCTGCTATCAATAAAGACAAGATCAAGTGATGTCTAGGCGATGAATTATTGGTATTTATACGACCCGTTCTCTGTGTTTAGTGTTTCGTGTTTGCAAAATAAATGGCGACACGGCGTAAAATGCTGATTTTTGGGCGCAAAAATCTGTCTTGTGTAATTATAATGGGGAGGGGGGTGTAGTTACAATGATCTAGGGCCTAGAGAGATTATCGGTATTTATCTAATAGTTCGAAGCTTAAATTGTATTGGTCAGTCAAAAACACCTGCATTCTGTGTATGTCATTGTACTTTAGCTTTATGTTTAACAATTATACAATAATAGAGTAAAGTTCATAAGAGTATACAGTTTTTTAAGCGGTCAGAAAGACCGCGTCAAACATTCGTTATTATAATCATCCTATATGACCATGTCACCTTCGAGCATACTTGTTTTAGAGTGTACTAGATGACTTTGTTAGAAATGTCAAATGTCATCTGTATTATTCACACTTGGTGTAAGGCGGTCAGAGAAGACAGTCGATTCAACATTGCGCTGAAACATTTCATACAAAAATAATAAAACCATGGATTTAAATGAACAATTGGATAAGATTGATTCTGTTAGCCAGCTTGATGATTTCATCAACACACATAGCCTACACAACAATGCCTTTATTGCCGCTAGGAGGTCTCTGATGGTTCAAATAAAATTGGCCATTGTAAGTATTGATTTTAATGTATTTTTATCTATAAATCTGATGTATATGGTATCGTGTTATATAAACTCAGTTCAATTCTATCAGTTGGATTTTCAACCTCTTTTTTCTATATTTTACCCAGGAAAAACTATTATGGAATTCGGACCAACTGCCGGAAGACATCCATGATATAGATGACTCTGTATTTTTTGACAACAACTATGAGGACACAGACCTACAGCTTATATTAGCTTAAGAGGACCATGAAAATCACATTGATCTTACTGCGCTCAATTTTGACAGACCATTCTTAAGCGTAGATGCGTCATTTACAAGACTCATCCACACAGTCATTCAAAATAAACTTCCAAAATTTTACATAAACCGTTCTATACGGGAGTATGTACAAACCCGATTGCACAGTAAACAAGTCAATGTAAACCAAATAGGTCTTGGTCCCTTACCAGATCAGGATGCCAAAAATGTTCAGCGCCAAGATAATGAAAGTCAAAGTCAGAATGACAGAAATCAAAATGTTCCGAGTCAAGATAATGAAAATCAAAGTCAAAATCAGAATGACCTAAATGTTCCGAGTCAAGTTGATGGAAATGTCAGTCAAGACTACGGAAATCAACTTGATAGTCCCATTCAATTGGAATTTCCCAGTGCGTTGCCTAGTCAAAATCAAGAGGAATACATCCAACTTAAACTTCCTAGTGCTAATAATTCAGATTCAGAAGGTGATAGGGGTAGTGAAGATGGTCGGGATAAGCCAATTACGGACTTTTATACAAAATCAAATGTAAGTAGTAGACATCATAGGGGTTTGAGGACTGACGATCTTTCAAAAATTGCGATTTTCACAAATTTGCCAAGAATTCTCGCTCGATGATTTCCATTGAAAACTTAGACAATCTCTGTCTTTCGCGCTCCATAGTTTTGGGGATCGAGTGGCGGAAAATCACTGCCATTAATCAAAAAGATAGGACACGTGACCAGACAAGTCGCTGGGACAATATTAGACAAGGTCGTGATGAACAAACAAGACTTGCTGAACAACTCCACGAACGTTCAAACATGGAGCCCCCTGTTAACGATCAGCTTTGTAATATGGACCATCTTCGACGATTCCAAGCTGTGTACGATGGTTATTGGCAAATATACATAAATTACATACACATATTATGCAAGTAGTTGAATTATAAATATGCCCACAATATATACACACATTGTCTTTAATGTCATATAAATAGTCCATGTAAAAGAGAGAGAGCCTGCGGGGGGGACGGTTCTTGTGGTGGTTTGGGGTACGTGGTTTGTGTTGAGGACTGGCATCAGCAGCTTACAACCTGTAATTAAACAAATTGTACCTATGTGAGCCTTGTAAATATAGTGTAGACAGAAAATAGTTGTATATTAAAATGTATATATTTAGAAAATCAATAACGTGTTATATGTTTTTATTATCCCAACGAACGAAGTTCGTTAGGGATATAGTGAAGCCCTCCGTCCGTCCGTCTGTCCGTCTGTCCGTCAGTCCGTCAGTCAGTCAGTCAGTCCGTCTGTCTGTCCGGAAGATAACTCAAATACTAGTCGACAGATTTTCTTCATATGTAGTGGAAAGATGTATATTGGTGAATAGTTTTACGCAAAAAAAAATTTTTTCAAGATGGCCACCGCTTTAAAAATGACGGGACTTTTTCGCAAAAATCATAAATTTTTCATTCTAAACCAAAGTAATTAATATTATTGTTTGAAATTTTGGTAGAGTATTCACAACATTTATCTATTTCACATATATTCCGTGTTTTTCATCCTGACCCCCAGGGGCCATGTATGGGGGGACAGGAAAACAGAAATTTTCGCTAATTTTTAGATCTTTCTGAAGTATAGCTTTATTATACTCAAATGAAAGGCAATTAAGAGTAGATTGCAAATAATATTGTATCTTTTTTCTGATTCGAGCCTCTGAAATTCAAAATGGCCGTCTAATGTACGATTTCGCAATAATTTTTCGATCCCTTCAAAGTATGGCTATATTATACTCAAATTGAAGGAATTTTGGAGTAGATCACAATTATGGTATTATTTTTCAGATTTGTACCTCAGAAAATTCAAAATGGCTGCTTTGCAGGAATTCGCAATTCTAAAATCTAATTTTTTCATTTTCAACCAAAGTAATGAGTATAATTGATTGGAATTCGGTAATTGATATTTTGTTCGTTGGGATTTGCTACTCCGCGGAGTTGCCGTTATCTAGTTTGACTAGTTGATCATCAATAATAGTAGGAACCCGCCCTGGATTATTGGCTAAAATGGCCTTGAATGCTTGAACAGCAGTCAATGATTTTGTATTGGCCATGGGCTGTACCATTGTATACTTTGACAGGCAGTCGATGCATAATAGTATATAGGGTAGTTTATTATTGGATTCAGCTATGTTTTTAATGAAGGCCGTATCCATCTGCCATTCATCATCGAGGCCGTAGACGATATAACGACGCCTTTTAAACCGTCTCCTGGCTATTTTAGTAAGAGTATAGGCATCTTCTTTAGCCAGGAACCGTTTTATTTGGCCAAGACTTATATTGTATTTTTTCTCTTTCTGCACAGCCTGATAAAGGGCTTTTGGACTCCCCAGTGACCCTTCTGCTTTAGGGTTATAGTAGAGAGTTTTTAAATACCTTTCTTTAGAACTCATGACGATCAACTGGTTTCTTTTATGACCAACACGGTTATATACAGTGCTAATATTAGTGGCTGAGTAAACACTTGAGCAACTGCATAACATAAGGAGCATGTTTTTTTCATAGTGATTTTTAGGTAGGGATTATAACACACACATATAACTAGCTGGTCTTCTTTTCATTTGAATTTTATTTATAAAGAGTAATAACTACACATATACATGTATACAACATATTTACAAACAATACACTACATGCTTCGTACAATCTTTACAATACACGTTTCATTTACACTGTGACCAACGTGTAAGACTGTTGGTTTAATAGCCCCATGGAATGGTACAACTTTTCGCTTGTCAAAGCAGAATCGATATCTTTTGATTTGGTCAACATTCTTTATTAATGCTTCTCTAAAGTTCCTTTTTATTTGAGGGTTTACCACGTCAACATGACCTACTGGATGCTCATTTTTGACAAAGTCTAACATGGTCCTCATATTGATGTGCTTGCTACCCCGGACATTTAAGGTGAAACCTTTACACTTAACAACCTCTTTTCCCTTAAAGGTCCGATAACAATAGTTTTAGGCGCTAATGCTACAAATTCAGTTATGTAATCATCACTGTCTAGTTCATTTGTCATCTGACCTAAATAGTCTCCCATATTGAGATCAAGATGCCTGTTTTGATCGTTTTCAAAATAGATAACCGAGTCGGTGTCAAAGTAGCACACATCGTTCTGCAGTTTGTCCAAGATCTCATACAAATAACGCCTAGCATGACTTGTTGTTAAAGAGGCAATTAATATGGAGCCAAACTCAAGACCCTCATCAAATTTGTCAGCATAGACGTAGTCCAGCTGGACCATGTCATCAGTTACAAAGTTGACATCTTTAACAATGTACTGGTCGCTGTGTAGATATTGAAGCAATGTCTCATACCTAGTAATGTAGACCGTCTTCATCATGTTGGCTTTTTGACCAAATTTACCTGTAATGTCCAACAATATAATAATAAATAAATAAATATATGAGTACTGAAATAACCAACTGGTCATCATCATTATAATTATTAAGAGTCATTGTACAGAGATCAATATTGCCTCTTATACTATAGTACTGCTTTAGGAATGGTTAACCAATTACCCAACTGCTGCTGCAGGCCAGGTATGCTAAAATGAAAGAATGATATAAAACATTGTAAATTACCCCAGAAGCTATTCAATTTATTTTTGGCTACGAATCGACGCCCCAGGTTGTGTGTGATTTTTGTGGGGTCAAGTAACACGCCCTCATTTTGAAGATACTGCCCAATGTACTGCTCTTGTTTGACACGATCATCACCCACCCATCCAGGCCAACCAGAAGACTCTTGCTTCACCTGCACCCATTTGTTTATGTATTTTGTAAACAGACCCCCTTCACGTGTATCCTTGTCATACACAGTCGACTTTGGAAAGTCCCAGTACTCGTATATTTTGATATTGAGCGGCTCTTTGAACGAGGGATTTGAGACATGAAATCTAACATGGGCGTGATCTGGTATGTCTTTCAGTAGCTCATTGAATATGATATGTACTCTGTACATATTAATGCTGATGCCATCCTTAGTTAAATCTTGTAAATAGTGTTATGGGCATACCTATGTAAAATATTTGTCTATATATTATATATTTGATAATATAAATACTTAGGTTTGTGATAACTCATTGTTTATGTTATTGATAGTCAATGACCCTGCATTGTAGGATGTTACCTAGGTCTTTGATAGGCACTCGTCCTGGGCCAAATGTCCCTCGTAGGTGCATGTATCTGCCTTGCACGACCCACTGACTGTCTTCTAAAAATGTCCTGAAGGCGTCTGCTAAACTGACATGGTGACCCTGTAGTGAGGGGCCGTTTACCCAGTCCATTGTACACCCTGCAACACGTTGTTGGTGATCACCAACCCGCCTAAACACAGATCGTTCTACCTCAAAGCTAGCTAGCATTCCTCCCAGGGGGTTCAACCCCAAGGTCACGTGGGCAATAGCTACGGCGAAACTCATAAGTGGCGTATTGTAACAGCTTCCCGCCCAAATTCTCATCGATACGAAATGGGTGAACACGGGGTCTCTAATACAGCATCTCTCCACGAGTTTTCTGTCGGCCTGTGTTAATTGCTTTCCTGCGCCGTACGTTGGTAGTGCATCAACGTATACTGAAGGTATATACCAACGTCTTGATCAGCAACTGCGAATGCCCGTTTTAAGGCAGTAAACACAGGTTCAACAAATTGCTCAGGTGGTTCTTCATAGCTGTGCGGTATTAGAGTAAACCGCAACTCGTCATACGTGATGATGTCATCTGTATCACACCCAAATCCATTTGCTACATGAAGACCCGACTGGCCTCTATTCATTGTCAGACCCGGGTGTTCCTCGCGGACCCTCTCTTAGAGTGACACCCTCAACTCTATAATGGAACTTTTCTCCCCTAGGTGTCGCGTCTAAGATGTTGGTAATCGCCTTCACTGTTTCACCCCATACCCTCAATTGAGGAGGCCGTGTCATCGAAAAGTCCATTTCTATAACGATTATTTTCGCATCGGGTTCAATCAACCTCATCAAACCATCTTTTGCCCCATTTATTAAGTGCAACTGGTGTGTATCAATGCCTCCGACAACATTGCATACTTTTTGAATTTCTGTCAGAACAGTTAGTCTTAGAGGTAGTGTCATCTTTGTAGCCTTCCGGTTGTCGATGCAAGCAAGAACAAAAAATGATGGTCAGGCGGTGAATTCTTGTCATTTGTACTGTGTAAAACGTGACAACTTTGCCGCCCAAATTCACGTGGTGGGGGCATTGCTCATGTTACCTGGGTCGTGCAAACATAACAAGTTAAAGTATTCTATAATCCCAGAGAACTTATTTGTAATTATCTTATAATCAGTTTGTGACTGTACTTTACATCATTTTAAAGTGCTCTGGTCACTTAGAAACACGTGAATTTATTTCTTTAGTGATAGTGCAATTTTATCAAGGTGTAAGTACTTACAATTATCTAATAATGCACTAAAATTTATCAAATTATTCAATATTTTGGCGCACAAAAAAGTCCGCCAAATATTGGTGATCACGATTCTGCTATACAGGACTTGCGCACATACCTGTTTCACATGTAGTACATTGATTGACCGATTGGCTACCTATCTCATAGATATCATGTCAATGATCTGTCCACTATCATTCATTTAAGACAAAGCGGTCAAAGGAAATAGTCGATTCAATACTGCTCTAAAGCATTTCATGCGAAAAATAGTGGCATGGATTTAAATGAGCATTTGAATAAAATTGACACCGTAAGTCAACTTGATGCCTTCACCATCGCACATAATCTACAGAACAATGTCTTTATCGCAGCTAGACGACGACTCATGGTTCAAATAAAGCTGAACATTGTAAGTATACTGATTCATTTTAACGCAATTTTGTTTATAAGTCTGCTGCATAATATGGCATATGAATTTTAGTGATTCATAAACTTGTTTGATAGACTCATTATTAGGACGGTCCTGTTGACTTGAGGTATTTGGCTTGAGTTGTGGGCGTGCATGGCATCGTCTCACAGAGTTGAGACACTGTAAATAAACAAAGTGTAGCTATGTAGATCATTGAAATACATCTTGTATAATATAATTGTATATTAAAATGTATATTTTTACAAAAATCAACAACGTGTTATATGAATTATTTAACTAGCTGATCAACATTAATATTTAAACTAAATATAGATGGCAGCTTAATTCAAAGAGACTGATTTTGACGTTGCTATTTAGCACTACATATAGAAACAATCCTATGTTAAGAGACTAATCTTGCCCGACTATTTTGTTAATCATTAATAGTAGCAATAAAGGAATATGCCTCAATATTATGGCACCCTGTTAAAGCGACAATTACATACGGTTAGTCGACTAAAACCCCATAATGAACTGCTTAAGAACACTTACTCAAACTGTATCTCTTCTTCATCATTTCGTCAGTCTCGAAACTCACGCTGTCTGCGATTGCCTGTCTCTGGGCGGGGGTGAGCGTAAACTCGATTTCCTCGTCTACGGCCACTGTCGGTCTTTGACCCCCGTGACCTCTAGTCCATGGTGCATTCAACCTGCTCCTGCACACACGCCCAAGCCTCCTCATGTTTAGCACAATTACTATAGTCACTGTAAAGAAAACCAACAATTGTTTAATATTATACCTAACCAAAGTATTAATTTACCTTAATTAGAGCCTAAATTCACTGATCTGTCTTTTGACTTTGGCGTTTAAAGTGAGATAGTACAATAACACCTACTGTCCAGGGTAGACACTTGCATTATGATATGAAATAACTTTAGGTCATCAGTTACAGTGCAAATATATTTCAGGTCACAAATAATAGTAGTTAAAAGCAATAATAAAAAGTACTCACTCAGTATAAGGGAGATGACAACCACTATAGCAACAACGGGCATGAGCCAGGATGTCGCTTCCTGCTGGCTATCACCTTGATAAACAACCCCAGTCTCTGTAGTAGCACCCCCCAAAATCCAAGCACGCAGTTTCCCGATGTGATACTCTGTCTTATGACAGGCGGGACATCGCTGCAAATCCTCAACTCCACACAATCCACATAATCCATAGTATTAGAACATTGACACACACTGTCGCATAAGTTGTCCATGGTGAATAACTTTTCCAAGAATGAAGTAACCTCTCTGTGCAGGTCACACTCCCAATAGTTCTAAAACCCACTGTCAGCGGTAGTTTATGTAAACAGCTCATCAGCATAAGTCTATTGGGTTTAACGCCTTAGGAATAATTATGTAATATTAACTAAGAGGGTTATAAATAACTACATCAAAATTTATTTGAAACAATGATTACAAAACCGTTATTAGATATAATATTGTAACTGTATATAGTATTTACACTTCAGTCGTTTGGTTGTACACCCCTCTCAAATCCACCCCCTCTGCGATTTAAGGTATTGAAACCTTACTGCATTTGATTTAGCGTCCCATTGTTCATTGATCTCCTCATAATCGCCATCGTCATCTCCAGCACGGTCGTCGGCCAACAACCGGAGTAGCCATAGTTCTTTTACCCACTGGTGTGCTGGTTCCTGTACTAATCGATGCAGCGCACAAAAATTAAAACACAAGTCTATTTGCGTTGCCAATAAGGACTGGCTGAATGGTGAGTTAGCAAGAATCTCGTACAAGACGTGTTGCCTATCACTGGTTGTAGGGTCGAGAGAGTAGACGTCTCCTGGTTGAATAAACGTCAAATTGGCATCACGTACCGGCTCTCGCATAAAGACCAACTTCGATCGTGATTCGATGGATGCCTCGAACGGTAGATTGAAGTGGTTCTTTAGCTCTTGATCGGTGTCTGCAATGATCTCCTTAAATTTGAAGATATTAATCAATGTCTATACGGCATATTGGTCCTTTACGAGTACCCCACCTGTGGGTGTCATGACCGTGGTGATTCATAAATGATCGCTCTGTTCCTTTACAACTCGTGCCGCGTCCTGGCATTCCACCATATGTACGGAAAAAATAGCTATCCAATGTCTCATCAATACTCGGGTTTTGACACACATCGCATTGTGACACTCGATCGAGAGATAGGGTGTCATATTGTTGTGTCCTTATCTCACACACTACACCGGACCGCCAGTATATTGCCTTAAGGAAATGTTCTGCGTTAATACATGTGATGCTTGTGCATTCAGGAAATGTCATGATTAAGTGTAACTCCACATTTATCACGGCATCTTCCTCCATCTTCTTCCTTCGTACAAGACGTGTTGCCTATCACTGGTTGTAGGGTCAAGAGAGTAGACGTCTCCTGGTTGAATAAATGTCAAATTGGCATCACGTACCGGCTCTCGCATAAAGACCAACTTCGATCGTGATTCGATGGATGCCTCGAACGGTAGATTGAAGTGGTTCTTTAGCTCTTGATCGGTGTTTGCAATGATCTCCTTAAATTTGAAGATATTAATCAATGTCTATACGGCATATTGGTCCTTTACGAGGAGTACCCCACCTGTGGGTGTCATGACCGTGGTGATTCATAAATGATCGCTCTGTTCCTTTACAACTCGTGCCGCGTCCTGGCATTCCACCATATGTACGGAAAAAATAGCTATCCAATGTCTCATCAATACTCGGGTTTTGACACACATCGCATTGTGACACTCGATCGAGAAATAGGGTGTCATATTGTTGCGTCCTTATCTCACACACTACACCGGACCGCCAGTATATTGCCTTAAGGAAATGTTCTGCGTTAATACATGTGATGCTTGTGCATTCAGGAAATGTCATGATTAAGTGTAACTCCACATTTATCACGGCATCTTCCTCCATCTTCTTCCTTCGTACAAGACGTGTTGCCTATCACTGGTTGTAGGGTCGAGAGAGTAGACGTCTCCTGGTTGAATAAATGTCAAATTGGCATCACGTACCGGCTCTCGCATAAAGACCAACTTCGATCGTGATTCGATGGATGCCTCGAACGGTAGATTGAAGTGGTTCTTTAGCTCTTGATCGGTGTTTGCAATGATCTCCTTAAATTTGAAGATATTAATCAATGTCTATACGGCATATTGGTCCTTTACGAGTACCCCACCTGTGGGTGTCATGACCGTGGTGATTCATAAATGATCGCTCTGTTCCTTTACAACTCGTGCCGCGTCCTGGCATTCCACCATATGTACGGAAAAAATAGCTATCCAATGTCTCATCAATACTCGGGTTTTGACACACATCGCATTGTGACACTCGATCGAGAGATAGGGTGTCATATTGTTGCGTCCTTATCTCACACACTACACCGGACCGCCAGTATATTGCCTTAAGGAAATGTTCTGCGTTAATACATGTGATGCTTGTGCATTCAGGAAATGTCATGATTAAGTGTAACTCCACATTTATCACGGCATCTTCCTCCGTAAAACCTTCCTCCATATGTGCATTCATTCCTTGTTTTATAACATGTTGTGTTGGCCAGTGCTCATAATCAATTATGGGCCATGTCAAAGACCTTATGACCTTTAAACAACTTTCTCCCAACGAAATCGCAGACAAGTGATGTTTCACACGCCGGGTTTATAGCCATACACGAGGACCCAGATCGTTATATGATATCCCACATTCACAACCAGGGAACATACGACATTTTATCTGGCGGATTAAAGGAGGTTTTTGCCTTGCAATCCTTAGACATATAGATATTCCACATTTTATTTTACAATCTATGTGTTGGATCATTCAAACCAAGAGGGGATGTGGGCGTGTATTGTGTGCGTATGAATGGGCACATATTGTGAGCTAGGCTATTTGGTTGTAATATAATACATGGCCATCAAGTTATACATTTTTATCAAAATAGGAGGATGGAGATATAGCTCAGTGGTAGAGCAATCGACTGCAGATTGATAGGTCCCTGGTTCGAATCCAGGTGTCTCCTAAATTTTATCCTCAGTGGTGCAAATATTATGGATGGTTACCTATTGTGAGCTCGGCTATTTGATTGTTATATGAATACAGGGTCTTCACGCCCATAACCTATTTGCTTGTTTGTTTGTTTGTTTATTTGTTTGTTTATTAATGATTAACCCGCCATCTTCAAAAACAATTCACAAAACACTTATCACAAGTCATACACCCAGCTTTTTTGAATTTTCAAATGGCCGCCATCTTGTAACGGCCGCCAATCTACGTATACATAGAGACGCTTTTTTGAATTTTCAAATGACGGCCATCTTGTAACGGCCGCCCATCTACGTATATACACGCTTTTTTAAATTTTCAAATGACGGCCATCTTGTAACGGCCGCCCATCTACGTATATAGACTACTTACCCTGTTAAATCTTACAGCCATATTTTAAATTAAGTCTCCATTTTTCTGAAAAACCTTGTATACTTTTAATTTTTATTGTTTTCATTGAATAAATTTTAAGAATGTAACAAATCGATACATATTGAGAATGTTATTTAAAATAAAATATGTTACAATTATATTTTATGAAGTATATTAATAATTTTTTTTACTTCTGTTCTTGTTAAAGACGTATGGGAACCATACACTCTTCCTTCACTTCTGTTCTCAATCTAAATAAATATAAAGTAAAATTATAGATATTTTTGGGTACACCCTGTAAAATCCAATGAAATATTTTAAATACGTCTTCATTTTTCTGGGTCATCTTGTATACTTGATATCATTTTTAATTCTGTAAAATATAATGTTTAAATTAATTAAGAAGCTTTATAGTTTAGAAAATGTTTGTTTTAATTTATTTTATTTAAAAAAATTACACAATTATCCAAGGTTTCAATAATATCACTATTATCGCTCTCTTCACTTTCACTTTCATTTTTGACTACTTCCAATTTTTTTTTTTTTGGGCTGGAATAAAATGTAAAGATAATTCTAGGTTTCTCTACTATATTTTAACATGCAACAGACATCATTGATATCTTCTACAGTTTGAAATAAATAATTGTTTGAATTATTTCATACTTTGTACTATTTATTTTCCATTAAGAATTAATTATTTTGAGTCATTCTGTATTTTTTGATTAACATTGTCTCTTAATATTTACAAAATCATTTTTGATTCGATAAAATTGATCATCAGTCTAAATGCATGTTTTAGATCTGTCTGATTGAATAAATATTCATTTGACAGTGCAAATTAAACATTCTGTATTACTATACATTTTCATACACAGACAGTAATGAAGTAATTTTATGGTGATTTCTTTTTACATTATAAATTAAAATATACTTACATGGTGTTTAGGCATTTTCCTCTTTAAAAGTTAATATGAAATTCTAAAAATTTTGTTTGACTTGTGTATTGAAACTACTCAATATGTTATGCATTGTCAGATTTCTGAAAATCATGCAACATTAGATTAAGATAACGTCACCATAAACTTAAGTGGTTGGCTAGGATTAAACAAGATAAGTACTATCATATTCAAAGACAATGCCATTGACTATCATTTTGATTATTTGATAGATAGAACATGGTAATAAAATTGATAGTACAGTTCTCAAGTACAGAGTGGTCAGAAAAATGGAAAGCATACATTTTCCTCGTCTTTAGGGTTTTACTCCCTAGCATTTACACATTTATACATCAATCTATTTTCCAGTGTACTGGCCTGATTTGTTTTGGTTGTCTTGGGTAAAGCATCTACCTTCCCTAAAATGGCCTCATAGGCAAGTAAGGTCAAGTGTAATCACTTCAATTTGAAGGTTAATATAGTTAACCATAATAAAAGAACCACAGCTAGCGTGCATAAGATTATTACTAGGGACAGTCCCAGAATTGGGTTCGACTCTAGTCTTTGTGAATAGTTTGCTAATGAGTAGGATTTAGTCAAAAACATTGGTTTGACATTTCCGCTAACTGTCCTATGTCTAGTCCCATTGCATTGTCAGTTTGTAATATGTTATTCCATCGAGCCATCTGGTCTTCTGCTACCATGAAATCTAACTGTCCTATGTCTAGTCCCATTGCATTGTCAGTTTGTAATATGTTATTCCATCGAGCCATCTGGTCTTCTGCTACCATGAAATCTGTTTTTAAGCTACTTTGGTTTAGTGCATTCAAAAGTGTTATTAGTGGCTGATGTATATAGTTTCCTCTTGCTTCCAAGGAAGCATTCCCTTCACAGGCATCGATACTTGGGAGAAATAAATAGTCATTTAATATTCCAGATGAATTGCACGTGCTATCGATTCTACTTGATTCAAGACTAAGAAGGGATTAAGCCCCTTTGAAGTCAATGGGAAATTCACGGTTAAGTACAACTTAGATAACATATACAAAGTTTTGAAGCTGATAGAAATCTTCCAGGTTAGAAAACTCAAGTCTAAAAGGCATTTTATGATATCTAAGAAGGGTAAGAGTACGATGTAAAATATTTGATAGATCTTCTGGTTCAAACAAATCTGGAGATATATATCTTTTTGTTCATTTCTCAACTGCCCTGCGTTTTTTCTATATATCTTAGAAGTAGCAAAAGATAGTTTTGGTGATTTACCACAAATGCAAAGAGCTTTTGCACCAGTCTAGTAGTCATAGTAAAGGAGTAAAGGAGTTAAACATGTTCTTTATATGCTTTCTTATATGCTAATTGGTTATATTTTATACCAGTCATTAAGTATTCAAATCTGGTGTCCATTTTCACTGCATAGCTAATGAATTGGTCTCAAAATTCAAATAAGTTTCCGGCGGAAGAATTGGCAATTTTCTCTAAATGATTAATATGGTTGGTCCTCAGCAAACCCAAACAGACTTTGAGAAATGTCTGATATGAAATTAAATGGAGAATGTGGGGTACATCTCCAGTACATTTTATGTTTCAATAAAAGTTTGATAAGGCGTTCTTCCTTCCAAATTTCTCTCAACACATGGTTTTTCTGGATCTGATAATCAAGGATATTTCTATGGAAAGCATAGCAAATTGCAAATTTTGGTTCAAAGTGTTATTATTGTTGATGCAAGATTACTGTTTTATAAGGAAATTTCTTACCTTCGTTGCTGCTAAATCAAAAACAAATGTGTCCCTCCAACAATTGTCTGTGTT